GATGAATAACAGACATTTTTTGTATTATTGATCTTTTCCCGGTACTTTCTTGACAGAGTAGTACTTAGCACCAGCGTGTATAAGGCACTAGCTGTTGTCTGTTATTTGAAACGTTAAAATGTGTAGTCTATTTCAAGGACTAAAACATAACCAGCATATTTATTATAACACCATAAAGACGTCTTCTTGTTTTATAATAAGTTTTTACTGCGCTCTGTGATGGAATGTTAACAGCAGAAAAAATACCTATTAAACTTTAAAGAATGTTTGACTAAAATAATATAATTAAAACAACGAGAGATACTCTTACTAACAATCATTTATTATACTTTACAAAAGTTACAAAACTGTAAATTTACCGGTAAATTTCGTTCGTAAAAAAAGTAGGTATCAAAGTCCGTAAGAGTAGCAGTTGTTGTCAATTCAAAGGATTAGGTAACCAAAAGTCCACCAAACAAAATCCAAGTCGTCAATTAAACCAACAAATTAACACGAGTGCGCACAGTATGAAGCCGAAACAACGTGTGAGATAGATAGATCACCAACGCGCTCGCCCCTCTACTACCTGCTTCCCTGCCCCTCTACCCGCTCACGTATTTTCGGGTTACCTGTCGCTAAGAGCGGAGGATCACACACAAACAGACAGGATTTTTGTTTAATTTCATTTTATTTCATTTGATAGTAGGTCCCTAAGGATATTAAGAACGTTATTACTGCAATATGAACATAAACAAAGTTAGATTAGCTCTAACTTGTAGTAATAGTTCTTAAATAGTACGTACTATATGATATGTACATAATCTACACACTACTTATTTGTTACATGTGTTAAATATGAAAAAACCCGAATATTTTCCCATTCGGGAATTTTCCCCGGGTTTTTTCCCGGTTTTTTCCCATATTCGGGTTTTTTCTGGGTAAAATCCCATCTCTACGCCGTAGTCAGGTGGCAAGCTAGTTAAACACAAAGAATATTGGAAATCTCACAACAACAAACAATAGTAATATCATGAAATTCTGTTCAGCATTTCTTGAGTTTAAACTATCATGAGTCTGTGCCAAATTAGGTCATAATTAATTACCATAGTTTTGTAAGGCCAGAATAGGTATATAATAAGTAACTAAGAAGTATGAAGCAAAACAATAAACAAAGAGGTATTTTATAGTTAAAATTAAAACCATTGGTTTACCCCTTGTTACACGGTACTCATAACATAATAGTGAACAGTATTACCTACATAATATAAATGCATAAAAATGTGCATCTCTGCCTACACTGTTAAAGACGTGACGTAATTTGTCATATGATACGACATTTTGTAATAACCCAATAAGGTAGAATACTACATTTTATTTTAAGGTCCGTCTGGTAGATTAATTTACAACATTAGACACGTATTTTTTCTTTTCTTACAAAATTAAATACTTTCGACGATACCTATATTGATTTGAAATATCGTGTGACGTCACGATTTACTACATTTTATAGGGTAGAGCGTGACGTAACGACCTCCTGCTCCTAAACTTAACCCCATTTATCTAAGTATTGTTTTCTATGACAAAATAAAAAAATATGTGTCTAATATCTTTTCATTATCTAACTAACGGATTAATTACATTTTTAATTTTCATACACTGTCGACTAACCTATTCAGAAGTACCTTTTCAACAAGCATGAACTTTATGTACATCAATGAAAAGTTCATGTACGGCATAATAATGTCTTTGTGCCACACAAAGTCTTTAACAAAAACAAATAAATAAAAATATGCCCATCATAGTTTTAACCACCAAATGCGTGTACACAATGAATTATTAGGTAACCAACAAAGTTGGGTAAACAATATTATCAAAACAATTAGGTTAATTATTGCTTACATTAAAATTAGGGAAAAACCAACATGCCTAATGTCTCATAATACCATTTCTTATGTATGAAGATTATAGAATGGTAAATAATATAACAAATAAGTGTTATAAGTAAACAACAAAAACAAGCATGACTTGCTATCATTAATGCTATAAAACAGTGGAAATATCTAGACCTATAATAACAACTAAACATGGAAATCATATTTGGTGTAGAAGAACCTAACAAATGTTTTAAGTAGGTTTTGTATTTAAACAAACATCTGCATTGGTATTAACTGATCAATCCCCAAGCGGTGACCACTCTCCACTACCTTATTTCCGATGTTTAGAGACTACTTTTAAAAATCGAATATTTGAGAGTTGTACTAAAAAAAATTATCTTTCTCTTATACTTTTTTTAAGCTTCTATCCAATCACACAATAAATTGCATTGACAGCTGAGATACTTAACTTTTTTTTATCAGACTCCATTTTGACATAATAATAGTAGAGCCCGCAACAAGCGAGCCTGCGAGCTAACACTATCCTAAGCGCTCCAGGGAGAAGTCACCGTTACTTATACTCCAGCTTGCCTTAATTGGCTGGCTAGAGTGAAGTCGCTAGAGTAGTGATCCTGCTCGGAGGGTAGGAAACTAGTGTAAGTAACGAATGGGCCAGGGATGCAGGAGGCTTTGGTTAGAGGAGATGATCTGAGTAGAAAGCGGTAGTAGTTTCTTAACCATTCAGCCACTCAGATTCCCCTTATCCCTTTGTTGCTTTATCTAGCAACCATTCCCGGGGCCCAGTCGGTAAGTTGGCGAGTCTCCACCTACCATTTTTATGTGTAATAATTACATTGTTTCGGCAGGTGCCATAGTGATCCATAGTTTCCACTTTAGCAGTCCACAGCAACCCATCCATAGCCCTACCTTTTTTTCCATTATCTACAATATCCTACACTAACCATGGACTGTCATTACATTTAGATTAAAGTGATCTAAAGGGCCTCAGTTGGCTTCGGGCCCTTGTATGCCTCCCAAATGACTGGGACCCTGTGGTCTAATGAATGGTAAAGACATACATAATAATTATGTTTGTATTACATTGTAGTCTTACTCATTATGTTACATTAGTTTAATGCATGGTCATTATTAAGTGATAAGCAGTAATAGACTATTTTGGAACAGAAGCATATTATTTTTTTGTGTAATATTTTGTAGTATCTAGTTCTTTATTTGCTTGGCTTTGTTTTAAGATTTGACTTTTAAATAAAGACTTTTTCTTAATATCATAAGTATTCTACTGTTTACTTCATACCAGTAAATTTTATACATAATATTTCCTCACCTTTACAGAGAATATGTTCCCAGTATGTCCAGTTGCTATGTTCATAAGCTCTTTGTAGCGGAAGGGATCCCACAGCATGACATGAAGGTCGTCAGAAGCTGATGCCAGGATTCTAGAATTTTAATCATTTATGTTGTACTACCTACAGATATAAAACAGATTAATGATTATTTTACAACACTTACGATCCATCGTGGTTCCACTCCAGGCAATTAACACATCCCATATGCCCGTGCAGCTCCTTCTCCAGTCCCAATCTGTCGATCATAGGTCGGGTCACCGTAAGCCGACTCTGAAACTTTCTATCCACTTCCCCACGCTCCCTCGCCGCCAGCAGCCCCACGGTGCCGCTGGCCCAAGCGGGGTCCTCTCTTCTGCCCATTTTCGCGTAATTATTCGTCATATGTCTGATCAACCATCACAAACATACAATTCGTCAAACTAACTGCGGCTCAATCTATTTATAGTGTTACACATCTTACTTCACATTACTATGTGTTGCACAGAAATATACCACTAAAATAATCGTCAATTCAATGCGGAATACACAATGAACAAACAAATACAATCAACAAAAAGCTTTATTCTCGACGAGAAGATATTTCTTACGAAAATAAAAGAGGGACTGTCAAACAGCTGTCACCGAGTTGCCAGCATTTTCTTTTCTTTTAGTCTATGTCTAGAGCTTATCAATCCTTGCAGGTTTTGTTCTCGTAATTAACTTATTTTTCACTTCTATTTTAAGTTCTAGTTTGTTTAAATACTGTGCATTACTTTCAATTACGAACCACGTTCTATAAAGTTCTATAAAATACTCAATATAATATATTTCCCACTGACTTACAAATTGATTTCTGTGTGATAAAAAAGCTGTGGTAGAGTCCATTTCACGAAAGAAGTCCCGCGGACAATTGTGGAACTAAATTTGACAAATGGGGAGTTCGGCCATGTTGTCGTTTGTCGATGTTGTCAAGGTGGGTTTGTTGTGGTAGATATTTTGTGAGTTTATTAATAAATTAGTGCATTATAAGGTTTATTTACGATGCCAAAAGTTGTAAAAAGTGCAGGTCGAGAAATGATATTAAAAGTGAAAGAGTTCTGTGAAGCGGAACAGAAGAATCGCGCCGTTTTAATACCATTAGACAATGTTCGCAAAAGAGTTGCCGCCATAACAGGTAAATTTTGGGGCTGCCATATTAAACATATTTTTTACCAATTAGACTTAAGTTTTTTTTAATGAGGAATTAACATAACACAACAAAAATTTGTAAAATTGTATTCAACGATAATGTAATTAAATGCGGAAAAAGTCACTGTTAGATTTTTTAAATTTTTCATTTTATTGCAGGTGTGTCGGAGAGTCGTGTGTTATAAACAGACGGGTAGCGGTAAAAAACGTGGGCTAAGATCCAAAAGAAATTGTACGCCTAACAGAAGAGGCGTTCAAGACTGTTACAGCGGAAGATTGGGCAGTTCAATGCAAACATGTACAGCATTTGGAGGAAGAATATTTAAAAAATGATGGTCTTATGGATGAAGAAATGCATCGATTTATTATATCTACGGCTAGTGATAATGAAACAGAATCTAATTCTGTTTCTATTCACTCTTCTGACAGTGATCATAGTATGACCGATCATAATTATTCAATAAAACTTTTTAAATGTTATTTTATGTTTCTAATTTGATGTTGGTTGAACATCTTTATTTCCATTTTATACCTTAGCAGTATAAACATAAATACCTATATAAAAAGACATTATTTTTAAAATATTCCTCGAACTGTTCGAGTACGTAGTTAATCAAACTAATGTCAATTTCTCCTGATTTCCCCATACTATACAAATTTAACCGTGGCAACATTATGTCGCGCGAATACAGCGCTGCGTCTGCGGGACTTCTTTCGTGAAATGGACTCTATGTTACATTTTTAATTGATATCAGTGTTGCCAGCCGTACGATTTTCGTGCCATATATTTTGACATGACTTTTGACATATTTGACATAAATACTGGACATCATTTTGTTGATCAATGATCTTAATTGTGATTTGTTTCACATTGTGGAATATTCGCATTCAAAACACTATTTTATATTAAGGAGACGAGGTCGCCCTATAAGATTGAAATTATTTAGCAGGTATTTACTGTTCTTATAATAAATCAGAAAGTACTAAAAAACTTGATCATAACCCATAATATGGATTGCCTAATAATTTTGTTTATAATTGTATTAACATAATTGTAACCTTTTTATCATCCAGTCATCCTTACAGGCTAGAAAATGGGTGAGCGCAAAGGACAGAATCTGTATTATCCCCCCGACTATGACCCTAAGGTCGGGGGGCTGAACAAATTCATGGGCACACATGCATTGCGAGAAAGAGCCAGGAAACTTCATATGGGGATCCTGATCATCCGTTTTGAGATGCCCTACAACATCTGGTGCGAAGGATGTAAGAACCACATTGGAATGGGAGTCAGATACAACGCTGAGAAGACCAAGATTGGAATGTACTACACAACTCCGGTGTATCAGTTCCGAATGAAATGTCATCTATGTGACAATCATTTTGAAATAAAAACTGATCCAGGGGTATGTATCACTTTCTTGTTATATTTAAAATGCTTTGCTTTCATGTACAATTAATATCAAAACTGCTGCTAAGCTATTGTTAGTTGAAGTCATGATTAATCTAATTTCTTCATTTCCATTTTCAGAACTTAGACTATGTGATAGTATCAGGAGCAAGAAGGCAGGAAAATCGCTGGGACCCTACAGACAATGGCCAGATTGTTCCGGAAACTAAGGAGGCCCAAAAGAAACTATTTGATGATGCCATGTTCAGGCTGGAACATAAGACTGGAGATGAGGAAACTGCTAAACTTGATAACCCAAGGTTGGGGAGGCTGGTGGGGAGGAATGAGTCTGTGTGGAAGGATGATTATGAAGCTAATTGTTCCTTGAGGAGGAACTTTAGGGTAAGTCACACATTTAAGAAGATTTTAGATTATTTACTGTTTTTAAGATAAAAAAGTTGATTAAGTTCACTTAACATGTTGATATATCATACCAAAATTTTATTCATACAAAAGTAGTCTCTAAACATCGAAAATATGGTTTATAACAGAATTAGTCGAGAGAGGTCACCTAGGACTGCTTGGGATTGAGCAGTTAAGGTTGATAATTGAATTGAAATTACTAATCAATTACTTTATAAAACAAGATATTTAAATATCCCACGAAATTGTTTTATTGCCACTAATTTAAGTTAAATACTGAATCATTTGTATATCTCTATTACAGAAGAGAAGAAAAGAACTAGAAGAATCATCAGTCAATGACAGTCTACTGCTAGCTAAATCTTCTCTAGACATAAGTCTTCTACCAGAGAATGAAGATGACAGAAATATGGCTTCTCTCCTTTCCCTTCGACCTTCAAAAAGTGTAGAGGAATCCCAAACTCAAACTAGAAGTAAGATCCTCAATACACCAGCTTTGCCAAGTTCCACTGGATTACTGACCAGTTTCGGAGGACTCAAAAAAGAAGAATCATTGTCTAAAACTACTTCACTTACTAGACAAGGCCTAGGTATTACACTTAAAAGAAGTAAAATTCAAAATAAGAATGGTACAGATAATAAAATAAGTGAGACTAAAGAAGATTCCAAATTAGAACAAAAACTTATTACTGAAAGTAATAATTTAAAAGATAGCATTAAAATAAATAGTGAAGTTCCTAATGTTCCTAACAAACATGAGAATGATGTCAAAGTAGACCAAAAGAAGATAGATATTTTAAATATTAAGAAAGATGAAGTCGAGAATACTTGTGCTAATAATATTGCCGTAGACAAAGTAGAGGCTAAAAATGTATCCTTGGTTGGAGATTACAGCTCTAGTGATGAGAACTCTGAGTAGGTCTATGGGACTTTAATAATAAAAGACTTTAAGTCTCTATTATTCTGCTCACAATTGAATGGTCTACTAGTCATCTTTTTAAGAATTCTACTATTAAGAGAACACCAATTTACAGTCTATTGATTGATTAACTGGATAGGATCTGGATCTGGAGAACTGGATCATAGAGACCATTGTTTTTACTGTTTTTTTAAAGGCCATTTTATACAAGTAGGAAAAAGTACTTGTGAATGTTATAGCTCTGTTATTCTTCTGCATAAGAAGGTTTGTTATTTTTTTTATAAAATATTGTAGTAAGCTTTTCAATAAAAATAAATGACCAAACAATAATAACATTAAAACTATTTTATATGACAAAAAACAAATCTCAGTCTAAATGACTGCTAGATTTTTGTTTTTTTTTCTTTTATTTTTTTAAAACGTTGCCCCACACTAGGATTTTCTCCTGTGTCGTGGGTGCATTTACAAACATACAAGTTCACATACACAATGACACCCAGACCCGGAACAACAATTTGTGGATCACAAAGTGTTGTTCCGTTCGGGAATCGAACCCGCGACACGTTGCACGGCAGCCCAGCCACCGCACCAACCGTGCAGTCATGATTTGATTGCATGATTGAGTGCAACAGATTGACGCGGTGGCTGAGCAACTGGCTGCCGCGCAACGTGTCGCGGGTTCAATTTGCTGTTCCAGGCCTAGGTGTGATGTATATGTTTTTGTTTGTAAACACACCCACGATACAGGAGATAATCCTAGTGTGGGGCAACGTTAAAAAAAAAACAAAAAAAAAGTGAACTTATATGTTTGTAAACGCACCCACGACACAGGAGTATAACGTTTTGTGGGGCAACTTAAAAAAAAAAAGAAATGAAATGACGATAATATTTAAACAAAGACCTATAATAATTTATCAAAATACCACCTAAATTAGGATATTGCATATTATTACATATATTTTACTATAAGTATGTAATATAAGTATGTTAGTATCCATAGTCTTTGCATACACCCATGGGAGACAGAAGGTTATGTATGTATGGAAAAGGAAGATTGTCGTAAGAAGTTGTAATTGTTACATTTATATGAAAAAGAGCATCTGATGAATTATATCAGTATAAATATAGTAATATAGTAATTGTGGATAAAATTAGATCAACTGCTTAATGATGAACCATACTCTAAAGTCTAAAAACACTGTCTTGACACCTGGACCACCAGAAGTGTTTCAAGTGCGTTATCGGCCTATTGGGACTAGGAATTTGAGTATTGTTGGAGATTCAGGGATTGGGGGGGGGTAATTAAGTCTCTGGTATCCTCACTCACACGACGAAACACAACGCAAGCATTGTTTCTGTGACGTCGATTTTCTGTGAGGCCATAGTAATGGTCGTTTAAGTACAAAGGTATTCTGACAGTTTCCAACATTCATAGCAAGTCATCTAATTTTACCCAGAATAACTGTATTCCAAAATGTTATTAATATTTATTAACTAAAATAAAAGACCCAAACATCAGAATCACGTTTTATTTTCCATTTAAAAAACATTCAAGTTTCATGATTTTGATTTTATTTTAACTTTCGATGTAAGCATGTATCTTAACTTGCGATGGGTTAAGCTACTATGTGGCCTGCTAAATGATAATGAAACATTAAAGACTCCTTCAAACATTCCCAAAAAATATATAAAAGTTTTTCTTATTACTGGCAACATTGGCCTAAAAATGATTTTGGCAACACTATTTATTTTTTTATTGGATCTCGCTCACATTTTAATACCTACTTGTGAACGAGATGGACTATGATATTTTAATTAGCATTCCATGACTTTAATAAGTGGGCAGTAAATTCCTAAAATATTGAAAGATGAATTAAGAAATGAATGAAGGAGCCAACTAAAATGTAGTTTGTGCAACATGACAACAATTCTGTCTACATTAAAACATTTAGGACACACAAACAATTATTAGTATGGACACCGAAAATTCAAAGACATTTATTATTTTGTCGCCCTAAGGGCAGAGATCAGAATACTGGTAGGTAAATTATAAACCTACTCTAACGACAAAATGATTAAATGTATTTCTTTACTAGCTACTCTCGCGAAGTTTACCGCGCTGCTCGGCTCCTATAGGTCACATCGTGATGTATTTGAAGATTAGCTTCAAACAAACAAACTATTCAGCTTTATATGTATTAGTAATATAGATAACAAGCTTACGTACTAAAGCTTAAAGAACGATACATAAAACAATATAAATATTCAATTTAATATGAAAATACTTTAACATTTATTACAATATCAGTGAGTACTAAATTAATTAGGCAATGAAATTGCACAGTTTATTATAATTTGCGCTAGAGGGCGACACATTTGTCGGCCATTTTAACTACAATTCGTTTATACGACACCCAAGTTACAGATCACGACAATTAGTTTATTAAATTTACCTTGTAATTAGTATCCACTGCATCGATAATTTCTATCCAAATAGCAATTATGACGATATGACCAAAAGCTGATTTACATGAAGTAATCTTATTAAATCAGTTGCATTGAAAATAAGTAAATACGCGTGATTTGGCTTTGAATATACTTAAAAGTAAATTAAAATAGGTGTACGCAAAAGCTGACTAGATATTGAGATCAAAAAATATGAATTTAATAGGTACAAATATTTTGTTTTTAAATTATTGTCGTTACAAAACAGACTTAAAGGCTTCCTGATGGTCTGATATGTCCCCTGCATAATTCCAAACAGAAATTGATGAATAAGAATAAATTATAGAATTATTATTAGTAACACATCATGAATGAGGTGATTTTCATATAGATAATGTACAAATATCACTGTTTTTAATATATTCTATGCATAAACAAGTTATATAAACACCTATTTCAATTTGGCAGAGGGAATTTTGCCTTTGTCATTTAGTTTTCTGTTTATAAACAATTTGGGAGCTATCCATTAACTCTAGGTGGCGCCAATGGCACTTCTGTGCTGATTCATAGACAAGGCAATATTTATTTCATTCTATTTATGCCTCTAGTGATTCACCGTTCTGTAGCGCCCCCTAGTGATAAGCCCCCGTTTTTAGACAATGTCGATAATAAAATGTTTTCTTAAATTGTATTAGTTACAAATTGTCTATTTATGTATTAAATACATACATAATATAATGGTAGATTCAGTTAATCCCATATCAAAGATTTTTCATAGTTATTACATTTCGAAAGTTCTAACTTAGTGTGAATGATATTTGTCATTCAAATTATAACTCTTAAATCTGAAGAAATAAAGATCATATTCCTTAAAACTTTCTGATGGGCAATTAACTGTATCATGAATATATGGGTACCTATAAATCAGTGTAAGTACATAATAAAGTTAAGACCAATAGACGAGATACCCAATAACTCAATTTTGATTTTAAACGTCTTTTGATGAAGTCCAATTTCCATTACCACAATTATTTCAAAGATATCATTGAAAAATGAACTCTAAAAGTAATTAAATAAAGTAAGTTTCTATAAGTCTGTAGAGATCTCGTTTTTGGCCTTATTGTAGTTTAGTTCTACTCAGTAGAGACGCATCTCTTGTCTTCTAACGCCAGGATGAGGGCACACTCAATCTTGGAGTGCAACCAGGTCAGTACCTCTGGGTCTGATACCTCTATCACCTTTTCGTCCGTTGAGAAATAGTTTACAAGCTCGTCCTGGAAATAAGTGAATATTTTAGATTAGTAACAAACATGTACCGACAAAAAGCTGTTACTAAGGGGAAAGCGACAGGGGACAGTTGGAGTATTAATAAAATAGTCTTATAATGATATTACATTAAAATCAAACATCACGCCATTCTAATTTTAAATTTTCTGTGTACGTCAGGGTCAGTAATTGTTACTATAGTATTTTCTAACCACCAGTATGTGTACCTATTTGATGCCGTGATGTGTACATTATGGATGCAATAAGTACTTGATTACTTGATATTACTCCATATTCAAACTTAAGAGGATAGATAAAAGGAGGACTCTATTAGAAAAGAAACTAAAATCATGTTACAAACCGAGTGTTGATAGAAAGGAAGAGGACAATAAAAAAAATAAAAGAAAAGACTGTGAAAGGCAAGGGAGTTTCTCATGTTATAACGTCTACCGGGAGAATGGAAATAAGCTTATTAATATTGTACTAAATTTAAGTAATTTAGGAGAAAGGCAGACAGTAAAGAATACATAGTTGGTAAGGCATATAGAGCTCTTGGATTTATTATGAGGGTCTCTAAAGATTTCAAACAGGCAAAAACGCTCAAGATTTTGTACTGCACTTATGTAAGAAGCCACTTGGAATATGGATCGCAAATATGGAATCCTTGTTACAGTACACACATCCAGCGCTTGGAGGCAATTCAACAGCGCTTTATTAAATTTCTTTGCTTCAAACTTCATGTTCCATATAGCTCAGACAAATATCTAGAATTGTGTAGGCAGTTTCATATTCTACCCCTTACTAATCGCCGTCGAATAGCGGATTGTACCACACTACTAAAAATCATCTCAAATGAAATTGACTGTCCCGATCTCTTGTTCAAACTCTCTTTCAATGTCCCATGCAGATCTATTCGCTACAATCCCCCACTTTTAATTCGAAATTCCTCAACGAGGTATAGGCAGAATTCCTTTATTATGCGTGCAAGCAGAGACTTAAACAACTTGTGTAAGGAGTATCCAATAGATCCGTTTGTAACGCGGACTTCTGCGGTGCGAAGGATGCTCACTCTTCAGTTTTTTAATTGATGAATAAATTAAGTCAATTTATTATTAATTTGTTATTGTCGGTAGTATGGTTGGTGTGTGTTCACTTTTTAAGTTTATATTTAGTTGGTATATGCTCTTGTTGTTTTGTTTTTTTTAATTATTATTTTCTTTCCCTAAATGTAATTTGTTTGGACTGTGAGTGTTTTTTTAATTGAATAATTTGAAATCTATCCGTGAAAACCTGTAATTGGCTTTCTGGTGTTATTATAATATCTGTTTGTTTGCCATGTGTAGCTGTTGGTTTTCCTATCCATAAATAAATAAATAAATAAATAAATAAACTGTAGAAAGAGATATTTTGAAAGACACCGTCGTCTTTTTCTCACACACCTGTTTAATGTTAAGCAGCAGTTTGTCTCCATGCACTATGGGGGAGCCAATGACGTCATCCAGCTTCACTGCCCATTCCACGTGCCAGGAGCCGCTGGTGCCACTCGCTCGGACCATGAATATGTGTCTGGAGAAATATCAACATTCAAATGAAGCGTACATGTCCGAAAACGGAAGCTTATGTCGATCCGGAGATTAGGTGCATGCAAAATCAGACACCAAGCTGTGAATCGAACTCAAGGCCTCTTGCACAGTTGCAACCACTGGACCTTATGAATATAAGTTTAATTAAAAAATAATACGCACTGCGTAGATATAAGCAGCGTGCAATTGGATGTAGGTCCCAGATGCGCATGCGCAATGTATGCGTCAGTGTCGGCGTAGTGGCCCCGTCCTAGCAGCGTCAGCAGCTGCAGCCCCAGCGCAGCGTGCTGGGAGAATGGTCGGACTCCCTGATACACAATACAAAGAAATGTGATTAAAGATTCAGAATTATTATTATTAGCCTTATTGAGCTTCAATGATAAGTAAGTTGAAAGAGAACTCGTTCGTTAAAGGCTCAGAAGCTTTCGTTAAAGGCTTAAGTCACGCGGAGATGTAAAAAGAATGTAAAATCTGCATCACTACATTGTATAAAATAAAGTCGCTATCCGCTGTCTGTCTATGTCCCTATGTATGCTTAAATTTTTAAAACTGCACAACAGATTTTGATGCGGTCTTTTTTAATAGATAGAGTGACTGTTAAGGAAGGTTTATATGTATAATACTACATGCATACTGCACCCGTGGGAAGCCGGGGCGGGTGGCTAGTTAAGTATGATTTACAGCCATATATTTTTATTATTTATTTTGACCAAGGCAATTCAAAAACAAACATTTGAACAAACTGAGACCATGAGCACTTACTTCAATAGGATCACAATGCCGTGGCAGTCGGCGCCGCGCCAGTAACCGACCACCACTCCGTTCCACGCAGGCCTTCAACGCACTCTCCGCGCTGCTGACGTTCAGCTGCCGAGACAGAGATGCACGGGCTGCCTCGCGACATACATCTGAGGTGTAACAAAATAAGAGAAAATAAGATTTATACATTGTCGCCATTTCATTATACATTACTTAATGTCTTCTATAATTATCTAACCAAAGCTATCGCACTTCATTACGGTGCGGTTCGACAGGGATTGCAGGGTTGAATTATCTAGAGGTATAGTCTAGTGTCATTCCTCGGGAGGGGAAATAGGTATTTAACAAAAACAGAATCCATAGTACATTTTTCGCTAGTGGTGCCACCTACTCAGTGCAAAATTGAGAAACGTTATTACATTTCATTATAATCCTTCTTGTTTCTAGTGATACTATTGTTTCCCTTTTTGCAAATATATAACTTTCACAAACCTGTGCTTTAACTCAAGTGAAATTTTAATTCCTTTACGTTCATAAACGTTTCTACTCTAGTTTATCGTGAATAGAGCCTAACGGTGCCTGTATAAATATAAGAGTGTCAATTTCCTACGTGACCATAGTGATACCTACTTTTAGAAGTCGTAGTATCTATAATTATTTTTATACTATAATTATATTTTACCTGGATTTTACTGCTGCCCATAAAATTACTATATCTTATTAAGCCATGCTTAGATTAAAAGCTATCTAATGACGATGACGAAATTAATAAGCTTTCTTAAATCGACCGTACTTTTCCTACTTCTAGATCGAACCAACAATTGTGGATCAAGATCACTTATTAATTTCGGCCGTTTAATAAATATTTAACACAATGATCGTGCACTAAGGTACTCACTTCTCACAACGACACAGTCGTCATCTGACCGCAGAGCAGAACAAACGAGAAACAATATTAACAAACAGGTACTATACAACATGGATAATTAAATATTAGATACATAAGTATGTACCTAGATAATAGATATAATTATGTTAAACATAATAATAAACAGTAAATAGACAATAAAAACACGAAAACGTCAATGTAAAAGTTATTTTTGAAATTACAATCATGCTTGTTATCTACTACTTACTAAAAATTAATATCACACAAATTGATTGATTAGTTATAAATGTATATCATAAAAATTCCATGCTCATAATTGAAATGGATGTTGAAAGATTGTTTGACTGTAAAAATTGATTCTCACTTAAAGTTACCATTATGGTCCTGCAGCATTCAGAATGCTAAGGCAGATAGATACTCGTATAGTTTTTTATCAATTGATGTATCGTACCGAAAATCGCCAAAAATTTGTTCATATAAATACTTTTGTATGAACATCGGAAATAAGGTCTATAAAGAGATTGGTCAGAACAAATTGATTAATTTGATAAAAATATTAAATATTAAGAGAATCAATTTTTACATAATAGACAATGAACAGAACTGTCTCTATAAAAACACTTGATAAAAATAGTTGAAGAAAACATCTGAATACGAAATTGGGAAAACTCACCAAATGTTGGCCTAGCGACGAGAGCTGTGAGAGCGAGTGCGATACTGGCTTGATTACTGCTGTCTCCTTCTATCACACTCTCCGGGATATCGTTGCTTAGTTGAGGTACTTCCCCTGAAAGCAGAAAATGTTTAAGCTCTTGAATCGAATGAGGAGTGTCTTGCATAGAGTTTCTTTGCACGACACGTCGTCAAATTCATAAGACATAGCTCTAAAAATCTGCAAAGTGTGGCACACATCACGCGAACTTGACTGGTGGACTATATCACTCACCTGGTTTCCGTCTTGGCGTTTGTGGTTTAGGCAGATCATCAAACATGGCACTGGTCCTTGTAGTTGGGCTCGCTCGCAGTCCTAGTAGCGCTGCTGCTCCGTCCTCCAGGCGTGAGGCTACATCCATGATCTTACGGCCTAGAGCGGTACCCTAAATGGGAAGAAACTTACGTCTTAAGAAAACTTATGGAAAATAGTGACTGTTCTCAATATAGCTTGGTAAAACTGTTTGTTATTGTACATCGATTGAAAAATAACTTTTATATCTCACCATACAAGGTTCATAATACTGCTTTAGTCCTCTAGAGAAGTCTCCAATATGGCTATACGGGTTCCCCAAGATGTTGAGCCCGAGGACCAGGACATAGAACTGCTGCACCAGCTGTGTCCAGTAGTGGTGTGAGGCTTGCTCCACCAGGGTTGATGTGGTGATGGGAGCGTTACGGAATTCCAAGTATGACATTCTGAATAAAGGCAAATAATGATATCAATGAAAGTCTCTGATTGTTTGTTTCGAAAAGTTATATTAGTAGTTAATTATGGATAACTAAATTATTTCTTGGCTCCGACTTACATTAAACCAATCTATGCTCAAAAGGCGAGTAAAATCGAAGACCTAACGAATTCCATTAACGACGAATAAAATAAGAAATAATGATGTAGCATGACCCAGCACTATCTAGCAATGTGATAACTTAACTACCTCTAATCATAAAACAATACAAATAGAGTGTATTTTGTTTGTATAACATTCACAAGTTTCGCAAGTTACTTTGCGGTGAATTAGAATGTGGTTTTTTCGGAAGTAAGAGACTATGAACTCTAACACAAAGAAGGACATGCGTCATAGTTCAAAACTAAATCGTATAGGTAAAGAGATGACTGAATGAATAACTATTTCCACTTACTTTATAACCACGTCCTTCATGTCACACAACGAGGATCCCCAAGAATTGAACAAATACTCCAAAAGATCACTGTTGAACAGTTTAGGCCTATTCTCTTTCTTGTTCCCGAACCTTGTCTTGCTGGGACTATTGGTTGACTCTGCAGAATATCCTCGAGATGACAAACTCAGCACCAGCTTCACTGGAGACAGGTGAACGTATTCAAAGAACACGTTCTTCTGCGTAGTAACCTGGCTCTTCATTGCAATAACTGGTAATGGCATGTGTACTAATGCAAGGTCAGCTCGTAACCTCACAGCTGGCTTCTCCTGAATCTTCCAGTGGTTTAGGATATCAAAGACATAATTCACAAAACCACGATCCAAGTTCACACAGTACTCTTGAACTAAGATCTTGACGTATTTGTACACATCCTGATTCAAACTTGGTCGGTGCTGCTTCAGAGCAACTATTTCTACGCAAGGTTTTAAGCCTTTACTCGTTCTGATGTCGTTAGGTATCGGTGCCGGGTACAATACACTCGGGAACACTGCCTCATGAAGCTGGTTATCAATCTGTAACCTTTGACACTTCAGGTGACAGTACGTATAAGTTTCAGACTTACGTAACTGCAGCCATACACCAGGGTTGTACGTTCTACGGAGCTCAGAGAAGAATGGCTTGGTCATCTGCATTTTCTCCAAATCCAAATGGATGTACTCTTTCAGTTGACATTTCTTTTGATCCGTCTGGTACTTGTCTTCGATCCAAGATGTCAGGTCAGGGGACAGTTGCTTCCACTTGTGGTTGACGTTGACTTCCCACCGAGGCAAAGAATCAGTTATGCTGACATACGCCAGTTCCTTGACTCCTGCATGAGTAGGCACACAAACTGAAAGACTAACTCCTGACAAGGACATGTAGACCTCGTAGTTACTTCTTTCTGCGTTGATGCGCATCCTGTATTGGTACGCTATTCTTTCGTCTTGCGCCAATGCGAAAACTCTTTGATATCCATCCATGTAAGATATCCAGTAGACCACCACCTTGTCTTTCCTCATCTTCTTAGTTTTAGCGTGTGCTTCAGGAAGGTCTGAACTGTCAGAGTCATCACTGCTTGAAGAGCAGGGTTCAGGGGACTTTGGAGTCAGTCTCTTGAGAGTCGAAGATAGTTTGGACGTGACGCTGTTCGTTGCTACCAGGGTTGAGTGCTTTACTGAGTGGAAACTTACTTTCTCTTCACCGTAGCTGTAAAAAAGAAGAGAACATACGTAATTTAAACATAAAGGTATAAATATAATCCAAAATAATTGAGGAATTTAGGATAGTTAAATAATTACCCGTCCTGATTGAAAGCAGCATCAAATCCTTTGCCCTTATTGTTATAAATATTCCACATCAGTTTCCTTTCTTTTGCGGGATCGTCCCAAGTATATAGCATGGACTGATAGGGGCTCAGTAGAGCCACCTGGCCCGAGTCTGCCTGGTGCAACTTGAGGAATAAGTCATCACATAAGTTGTCGATACGAACTGGTGAGTCCCCTGCCGTGTAGGGCTTAAAGGTGATGGTGAAGGGACGGTCAGTACCGCCAGTCACTTCCACGCAGATTGCTGTCTGTAACGAGAAAATTAATGTGTAAGGTGGTAAGTATTATGGAATGATCGTTCTTATACAATAGAACAGAGGTGTAGGTTTGCATTGTATGTATTGTATATTGTATTGTATATAAAGGGTCACGCATGTAACATAGAATGTAACTAGTTACTATTACAGTTAAGTAATCATCAACAACAAACATTTACACAACCCACATACCTACAAAACGGACACCTACATGTAACACTCCACTTCTAAACATAAATGAAAAAATTGTCCATGTCAACATTTCACATATCCGCATAATAGTACAATGATCGTAATTTGTAACATAAACATGAAAGCCGTGACGTAACAGTTACATCAGTCGGGCAGCGCAGGCGCGGCCGGGGCGCGACACTAACTCAATTAGCACCACTTTCATCTCAACTTTTATAAGACTCGCCTACAGATACACTTTCCCTCAGTTTTCAGTAGACTACAGTGAAACAATGTTCAAAGTTGTGTTGTTTGTAACATTTTCTGTGTTATGTGTTGTTCATTCTCAAAGTGATGATGGATGCAGACATTCGAGATCGTACACTAGAGTTAAACGAGGGAAATACTTCCCCGGACCTCCGCTAAGGTTCTACAATCGTCCCCCCATGACATTCCCCATAAAAGGACCGTTCTCCTACACGCCACCACCGTTCATGCAAGACGATGAACCCCCATACCCCGGCAGCCGACCCTACAAGGTTAGTAAACGTCCCACTAACGATGGTTTAGGGGACGATGACATAAATAACCTAGTTAAAAACTTATCTAAACAAGATTTGGACAAAATTATCGAATTTGCTTATGAAAAAGATAAACATTCTGATAGAAGCAAAGACATGGAATATGAATACAACAGACCGAGTAAGAGGGAGAATTCTCACAAACCACCGCCATATGCCAAAGATTATTACAATACCAAATATTCAGAAGAAAAGCCTTATGAAACGGAGTTCAAGAAATATATAAGTTACGTGACTGAAGCAACTCCCGTGAAGTATATGCCGCAAGAAGATATAAGAAGTCCATATCCTATAGACATAGAACCGAATCAAGTCAGTTTCCACGGATCTCAGGACGACAGGCCGCCACCGAGCAAAGTATTCAGTGCGCAAGATAACGGACTGACTCAATTCAAGGGATTTGGACCAGGAGTCAGTACACCAACTAAATACAAGGATTTTGGACCACAATATGACCGACCAAGTTTTGCTCCGCAAGGCACATCACGCCCCTTCAAGACTTATGGACCACAAGACGACATAATACCTCCAACTTCTAACATTGATAGTGTTCAAAAATTCGAAAGCCTTCCACCAACGCCTTACCCAGGTCAAACTCCTTCAGATTTTCCTGAAACGACTGAAGAAGAAACATTGCCTCCCCCAATCAACATGAGAGAAGTAGATTTTGATGTGTCTTACACAAATAACATACCCACCGTAGTGCAAGCAGATTCTACTTCATATGAAGTTGAAAATTTCGGTGACTTACCGTTGATGAATTACAATTCTAAGTTGCATTCAGTCAGTTCGTACCATGTGCCGCATTACACTGTGAGTATTTGGGATTCTTTTTAAAAGGTTTGGGTGAATTAACACATCGATGATATAAGTAGACCAGGAATTTTAATAAGAAGATCACACAAAGTAGCAAATTTATTTATAACGAGTCAATTACAGAAGAAGCTAACGCCAAAGACTAAGCACTTAATTTGTGTCATGGAAACAAAAGAGAAGTAGAAAATTCTCCAAGAAAAACCCACAAAATAGTTCCATTTTCCCCACGTTACATAGATAACAATTATGTTAATAATATATTAATAATTTGTCAATTATGTTATTAAATTAGTGAGCCTGGTGGCTCGCCTGATGATCTAGTGATCATCAGGTAAGATAGTGGTATCAAATATAAAAAAAGTCTTTTAAAACATCAAATACTTTACTTCTGATTCATAAAACACGTGAATCTAATCACAGTAACATCTTCTATTGTTCCAGGTAACACAATCAAAATCGCAATCTCTCCCATCGCCCCCTTCGTCGTCCTACTCATCATCGCAGTCATACTCTTCATCATCTACTGGCTTAAAGCCATCTCCTGCAGCAGCATCCATCAAGGCTCCTCCCGTAGAACCTGCTCCTCCACCATCAGTAGCCAAGGAGCAAAGTGATGCACATTTGAAGGCCATCAAGATATGGTCCCACAAGTCAAAAGGCGCTGCTTACACGCTTCACGATGATGGTACTTTGTCGCCAGAATGGCCCCGACCGAAATACGGTAAATAATTTAGATATGTAAACTCTAGGAATAAAATCTATTTATTTTGCATATCTGTTGTTTTTTTAGATCCCGTTTAGTTTTTGGAATATGTAGTTAGTTATTTTTTAGTCTGGAGTTTCGACACAAAATCTAGTCCAATAAGGCCACTTTCATGCATACGTAATTGTTTGTATGTGTTGAAAACTTATAAAAAACTACCAATATCTAAAATTCATCTTTTCAGATTAAAGGTCAAATGTCATCCAAATTCATTCAATCTAGAATTATCTAATAAGAAATGAAATCTATAAACTCACCCCCTTATCCATCCTCAACACCGTAAAATGATTCTTCGTAATAGGGAAGTGTTGGGAGACCACAGTGGAGTCCCGGTACTTGCAGTGCATGGACATGGAGTCCGTCTGCGGCCAGAACGGAGTACATTGCTGAGGGGCTAGGTCGTTCCAAAGGTCGGCCGCTTCATTCTCCTCCATGAAACGCAAATGACGCTTGGTGTCGTTGTAGACCAGGAAATATGGTAAAAGCGTCACAATTTTCGTCAATTGAGGACATAGTTCTGATAGGGTTACCTGTGAAATGGAAAAAGAGAGAATTAGAAACCTTATTTACTTGTGTTGCATTGTGTTCTGTGATTTATACCGTAGAAACTGATTGTTTTGTAAGTCAAGGAAATAGAGTACTAACGTTAAGCAGTAGCCGATAGTTGGTGCGTCTCTCAGTATGAGGACACACGACCAGCCCTGGAGCTGCAGCTGCCAGGCGCGCAGCTCGTGACCACGCGGAGTGGTGCGCACGGAACCGAACTCGCGCCCCTCGCCGATGGCCTCGAGTCCCAGGACTCCACAGTAGAGGCTCCTCCGTCACCTCGTAGCAAGTGTCTGACTGACCACCCTGACAGACACATCCCAATTTAATACCAGTATATACCTAAAACGTTTAGAGATCGTCATTTTGTTGTCGTTGCATATATTTTTAAGACCATGCACCATTATTTAAAGAATCCGTATGTAACCTCTTTTGGTAACTATTACTTCAATTACTCATTATTTATTTGTTTATTAATGACTTCATTACTCAACATCAAGCCTTTTATCTCAGATGGGGTAGGCAGAGGTGTACAATACGGCACTTAAAGCCGATGACATTTACACTGGACTAAACAAGACGTCCTGGTAACAACAGGCGTAGGCAAAGAGCTTAACTTGGTTATAACTTTGAAATGTCTAACGCTACGTCCAACATGAACGATCTGGAAGCACCGCATCCAAATATGACGGTTCGCGCGAAAATATCAAACTAACTGATCCCGTCGCGTCATTTCGCGCCGCTGCGCATTGATTCCTACGGGCATATTGTTACGTAGGACACTTCAATAGGTTTCGACAGTTAGTTGTTTTCGTGCCGCACCGCATCGCTTCGCATTTGCTTCTAGATCATTCACGCAGGACGTAGCGTAAGAAGAGCTCCAAGGCTCCTACATGGCGTATGGGGTTACCTTGACGTGCAGCGGCAGGCCGGTCTTGTTGATGAGCCAGTGCTGCGCGTGCAGGAACAGCTGCCAGCAGTCGCGCCGCGCCACGCGCGCCACCACCGCCACGCACTGCGCGCCCCCCGCCCCGCCCGCCGCCTCGCCCGCCGCCTCGCCCTCGCTGCGCAGCGACACTGTCTTCTCCGTCACGTCTGCGCACGGACAATCGGAGGTTCATGATATTGTGCTAGTGTAGACACAGCTCGACCGGCCCAAAAACGTCTGTCTTCAATTTGAATCATCCAAATTATGTTAATGTCCATTCGTACTTATCCTGGATTATCGGTGATTCCGTCCCCTTAAAAGATACACTAGTAACTCGTTTGGTGTTTTAGGATTTGATGGCTAATGTTAATTGCTTACCATCAGATGATAGGTCTGTTCAGTACCCTCTATGCTGTCAAAAATGCCGTAAAAACGTTTAATTGGCTTTATATCTAAATAGTTAGTGGGTTGATGGTAATTGAAATGGGCACAGACAGCAGTAAGGTGGAAGTACAGACCCGGCGACAGCGTGAAGCTGCCGGTCCACAGCAGGCCGACGTAGTGCAGCGCCAGCGTCAGGCGGTGCGGCTGCGGCAGCGCCAGCGTGTAGCAGTGCGCGCGCTCGCCCGCCTCGATGCGCATGCGCAGCGCCGCCGCCTCGCAGCGCACCTCCGTGGCGTACGGCAGGCGGTTGTACACGGCCAGCGGCGGCACCACGCGCACCACGTAGTTCGGGATCGCTCGGCTGATCTTGGATGACTGGCAACCTGGCGACGGAACGTCATCTATACAAACTTTCTACCCTCAGTAAATGGATGGGAACGGTGAAAATTACGGCTTTGAATATGTCCCGAGTGCAATTTAATGTTGCGTAAAAATTGAGGCTCCATAGACAAAAAAATATTCAGATATTTGTTTAGCAACTTGGCTAAAATTGTTCTATTGCACTTACCTTCCACAGGCAAGATCCTCATGGCGAATATTCTCTTGTCTTCCCCATCCTTGGCAGGACATATCATGTCCCGCGGTGTACCCACTTCATTCGCTAGTTCCATCCACCAGATGCCTTGCGTAGCTGTTTGGTAGCTCCTGCCATAATTTAGTAATTTGTTAGCCCAACTCAATAAAAATAGAACTACAAAAACTTAATACGCGCATACATAATAACAGCTTACTCGAAGTTGGAAGGCAGCAAGAACAGTTTACAGTGGTAGGCGATATACAGAGGTACGTTATACGTCTCCTGTGGAGCTATTACGGCCAGCCTCATCTTGTCATCGAACGGGTTCGTCAGGGATCCTATCAGTTCAGCTCCGATAGCCTGCAGGTCTGTCTTCTTGTAGAACAGCTCAAGGGCGTATGAAGTTTCGTTGCGGATCTATAAAAAATAAGACAAACTTAAGCTGTGTGAATTCACTTATTTTATGCAATGTCTCTTTATTTCCTGGAGCAAGTTCTTCTCTTGTTTTAAACAACTATTAAGCAAACGTTTGTAATAAGACATGTTGTGTCGACCTAAAAATAGATTTAGAGGAAAGAAGAAAATGTTGAGCGAGGCAGAGTATCGTAGGGGTATTAATTAAATATTTCTCTTTATGACGGTGACTGCTATGAATACAAACCTGGTATGGAGATCGGACGACAATCTTCTTGTTGTTATACTTGGAGGTCCTCTCCACGGCGATGTAGTACCGCGTCGAGTTCTTGCTCGGGTGCAGCACGTGCAGCTTCGACACATTGCGTTGCGGACACAGGATCTGAAGGGAAATTGTAGATTCTATTGATATTGGGCGAACTCTGTCGTTGTGTTGTACCGGGCAGAAGATAATCGTTGATGGTATGCTCCGTCAGTGTAAGTAGATAAGTCCCAGAAGTAACAAAGAAAACAAAGATAATCCAGTAGGTACCTCAACCGGCCACCTAATTTGACAATCGCTTAGATATAGAAAAACTGAATGACCCTTTTGAATTTGGCAGTTGTCTGTAGATACTCACAGTGAGATGGTCCAGGTCGTGCAGCCGCACGGTGAGCGTGAGGTCTGTGAGGCGCGTGCGCAGCGCGGGCGGCGGCGGGGGGGGCGCGGGGGACCACGCGCACGCCGCCGCCGGGGACACCGCGCCGCCGGGGAAACCACCCTCGAAGCTGTAGGATTCATTATGCACCCGATTAGTTGAATTTTACGTTGACTAGCCTTTCAGCAACTGGGTGTTAATAATGGGTTTTTCTTCAAAGTAATTAAACTTACCAATCCCATTCATCACTGACGTCTGTCATTATTTTCGGCTTTGTTGGTGGTTCATCTAGCAGATCAGCTGATGATGTGTCGCATCCTAAATGGACAAACAGGAAGAAGAAATATGAAGTCATTCATCAACTTTCTTCAAATTTGAAGTCCGCTATTGTGAAAAAATGTTAACTGGTGTGTTTACACATGCTGCACGCAAATTACAATACTGGTAGCGTAAGATGCTCATTACCTGGTGTGCTAGGCCGGCTAGTGTCCACATCATAATCGGCTATGGCTATAATCCTCTCGTTGCCCGCCAAATCTGTCTCCGCTTTCGTTTTTAAATGGACTGTTGATCCCGGTCCTGGACAACAAAAACACATCTCTAGTTTTGACTGTAGTCTGTAGTACTAGTAGAACTACCTGCAGTCTTTAAACATTAGACTGAGAACGGTAGGTAGACTTTAGTCTTTCGTCTTTCGACTTTAGCCTTAACAATTCAGATGGGTCTACCAGGAAAGCAGGAACCTACACATTTTCAGATATTACACATCCTGATCAAACAAATAGGTTTACCTCTAGCTTTGTTATGAAACTCTAATTTCAAATTGTCGTCATAGTTTCTGTCAAAATCTTACCTATATCATTGACTAGTAACAGTCCACTTTCCCCAGTGACGATGGCAGTGACTACAGCAGTTCTGTCAGTGCATGCTGCAGCCAGGTCCAGCAGTGCTCTAGCTCCTGCAGGAGTTATTGTGATGTTCAGCATGTCTCTCGCTTCCACCGCTATGTAGGTGCAGGATTTGTCAATGTAACTCTCTGTCTCGAGTCCTGAGTCCACACTGTCTTCGCGGACGACTGGGTCCTGGTAAAAGGTGTTTTTTACTTTTTTAAAGTACTTTATCTCTGAGACAACATTGCCCAAAGTGAAAGGCTTCTATTCGTGAGATATAATAGAAAATAATTTGTTCTAAACGTAGAAAATTGTTTGTCTACAATTGTATTATTATATTTTTTTCAACAATATTATAAGGATCCCGAAGAGAGTAGTTCATTTTATTGTCACAAACAATAATGTTGTAATTTTAAAGGATTCAATGTTACCTGTAACGTTACAGTTTTAGGTTCTGTCTCTTTCTTTCCCTTGGCTTCTCCATCTATGAACGTGACTGCTTTCTCGTTCTCATCATGATCACTGCCTACTTCTACTTCACTTTGTTCTGGTGCTGAAGAGTCTTCATCATTGCTCATTTCTTCAGCACTGGAGTCACTGGGGAAAAAGCAGCGATTAGATTGATCTACATCCGTCTATTTATGTCTGTTGCAACTCACTACATCAAGGTATCTATAGGATTTTATTTTTTAAATATTCTACTATTTCTGTACTTCAAGTTTCTCTACTTTAAGATTAGTAGTGTCCATAAATTCAACTTACTCAGTAAACAAATGTCCAATAGCAGTAGCTAGTTTATCCATCAGTCCACTTTCATTCTCCGAGTCAGATTCATCTCCATCCAGCAATCCCAAGAATGACATATGTCCAGCGCTGAAGTCCACATTGTAATGCTTACTTTCTCTACCATTCGGATTTTTAATAAACGTCATTTCATTATCGGTGTCGCCCTCATCTGCTGAAGTTTCAGACTCGAATCCGTTCTTCTTTTTAGGTTTCTTTGATTGATCGGATGCGATCGAGGAGTCTACTTCTGTCTCTTGTTGACTTGAGGTGTCGAGTCGCGATGACATTGGATAGGCTTTGGCCTGGAGAATATTGTTAATGGAATTCAGTAAAATTGCTGTCAAAATAGTTTATCTATTAAACTATTTTTAGAGGTATGACTTGACAAATAATAGTCACTAGAAACCGTATTACCAGTGACTTAAGTATTTGTATTTAAGAATTAATAAGAAGAGAAAAACATAGAAACGAGACAGACCTGGAACAGAGTAGCAGTGATCTCCCAAGGTCGGTAGACGTTCTCGTTCTGCACGACAGGTTCAATGAGCGGCTCCCAGGCGTCCACGCGCTCGTTGTAACACGACGCTATCATACTGAGAGACGCTGTGCCGTGCAATTGTTGAGACCAGTCGTGGATCGTCACCTCAGATTTCATCTAGTAAATGAGAAGTTGCTTGAGTTGATTCTATATTGGTAAATTGAATATTAATTGCCACAGAAAGAATGTGACCGTCTCGAATACAAAATGTACGTGAAATTAAACTATTTTGCTTCTTTGATAAAACTATCTAGGAAAATATCTACATGCCACCCGTTCAACTTCAATCAAATAATCCTTTTTTAATTCCAATCTAATAATTAACCTACCTTCATCATCAGCACCGGTACCCTGACAGTGTGCTCCATCTCAAACATGATCCTTACGCAAGGCACGCTCATGATGAACGTCTCCGAAGGTCTAAGGCTCGGGTACTTCGGCTGTGTGTAAATATCTTCAGGGTTCAGTACTACGTAAGGAGTCAGCTTCTTTGGAGACCAGAGGTCTTCGTCCTGCTTCTCAGACTTCGGGTTGTAAGTCGCAAAGTTGAAAGGTTCCTTCTCATCAGGTATTGTTAGTTCTGATGTTATTTCTTCAATTATATCTGAAATGGAACGAAACTTGAAGTTAATTATTATTTCTCAGGAAAAGATAATACGAAACTAGTAGATTTAGTAAAACAATGTAGCGTGAAATGATTGATTAACTGCTGTTATTTTATATTATACAAAAAATTGTTCACGTATTCAAAAAAAAAAAAAAAATCAAAATTCTTTATTATTATCTTAAGAATTACACTATCTGTCTAACATTGAGGCAGTCCTAGTAAGTTATTATACAATACTTGTGTTGGGACTGACTCGATCCTTTCTTTATTTATTTAACACTCTTAAGAATAATAACCTCGAGATCTGCTAATTAAAGGAAAACAACAAAAATCAAAGTAGATATAGTAAAATAAGAAATAAAAAAGTTACAAATATAAAAAAAAACTATGGTAGAACGGTATGTTAAAAGCAATTGATTTGTATTTTTTTTTTTGTGAGAGTAGATGTATGAATCGATGTGCGTGTGTGTGTGTGAGAAAGAGAGTGAGTGAGTGAGTGAGTGAGTGAGTTTATGTATGTATGTATGAATGTATGTATGTATATGTATGTACGTATGAGAAACATGTTTGTGGCGCATCGTCTGGTTTGCGCCAAGTATGATTTTAATGGTGTATTATTTTTATTACCTATGACAGTATGCACTGTAGTAGCTGCAATATGCACTTCGACCTCCGAAACCGTCATCTTCACTCTTATACCCTCCTCAATATTCTTAAAAGCCTTTGAAAATTCTATGTCACAAGGTTTTAGTACCAGCTGTGGTGGTAGATTCTTTAGCTTTGATTGAAGTTTGGACATAATCTGAAGTCCAGCTAAAGAGACCACGAAAGACTCACTGTTAGAGTGAGAGGAGTAGTCTATAAGGAGTTCTGTCCGTAAAAGAAGCGCATGACCTTCAGTCTTAGTGAGGTCAGTGAAGAACATGATTTCTGGTTGACGGAACTGTACCGATATTGATAGACCTGGTTGTTCTTCTGACATTGATGTCGCTGGAAGAAGTAAAATTTTGTTAGAAACTTTTTAATATTTAATATAATACTAAGATTGATTCAGTATCAAAAGTTTTTACTAATAGAGATAAAATTATAATGACTAACCTGCTGAATAATAACCGCTAGTAGAGTCACTGGAGCTGGGAAGTCTCGCAGCACGATTATTGTTGCCGGTCTTTGAAGGGTGTACATCACCTACGTAGCCATGATTTACTACACCACCTTCCATTGTCTTTTCACCTTAAAAATTGTAAAAAAAAATTGATGGTAATTATTTTTAAGCATTTACACGCACAAATATTGCTAAACCGATAGATACTAGAAGACGACTGTCTTAAGAATTTTAGTATTTCTTAGGTTATTTGCAGTACCTTACCTGGCATAGCATCCAGTAAAGTCCTAGCTAGCTGCAGCAAGAATGGCAGCGCGAGATTAAACCTAGTCCTATCTACTCTGACGTCAGCATGGCGGGCCTTCGCCCCCGTCACCCGCAGGCTGGCGTCTATAAGTGGAGGGCGACGCACAGAGATACAGGAGTCTTCTGCATCAGCGTTCGTGCCTCCTTGAGATTGGAAAATCCTGCGAATAGCAAATTTAGGAACAATAGTTTTTAGGCTTTATGGGTACTTTGGGTTACCTTTTGGCCTAAAGCAGAGTCCAATTTTCAAGAATACACGTTCAGTTACTAATATTACGGTTTATTGGTGATAGTAAGATGGCTAGTAACTTCATCTACTCACCTCTTAATAACAATACCAGGATCTGGTCGAATGTCTTCAACTAACAAGCTTTGCAGACTAGCTTTGATTTCTAAACTTCCATCGGAGCTGTATTCCATCTGCAGCATTGCCTCTCCAGCTGTCAATTTCGCTAGTCCATGGTTTAGATCCCTAACTGGGGAGCTTAGGACTTCATCCATGTCTGAGAATAGCTTTAGTTCTATGCCGTCTAAGATGAACCTGGAAATTAATATTTTTGCATACTGGGATTTGTAAGTCGTGAAATATATTGCATTATTTATGTTCTGTTTACTCTACAATTTCTTACCTAACAACAGCTTCTTTTCTAATAGGTTCACCTTGAGCGAAGAAAGCTTGCAACTTCTTAACTGATGAATCTGATGGTGCTGTCTCTACTGGAGAACTTGGTACTATACTTCCTGCAATAGAAATAATTACCGCTTTATTAACTTGCCCAGATCCCCTCATCCGTCCTGGCGTGATTAAATACCAAATATTAGTTGGATATGGATATACCGTTTTATACTGTGAAACATTTTTTATCAAAATTTTTTATCATTTGCAATAGATGATAATCGTTTCCGACCAGCTGATCTGGAAGTCTGAGAATTCTATGTTCAATAGTAACGATAATGATGTCGATGGTGATTATGATCTAGTACCGATATAGTTGCCCTCGCTGAGGTTATCGTTCCAGACAGCTAGCATGGTGGCGAGGTCCTTCTGTCCAACATTTAGAGTGACGGCATCCACCGCGACCCCGCCCTCCAGCGCCAGCAGGTCACGCAGGGAGGCCAGGCGGACCAACTGCTGGTACGATACTGCACGCTTCAGGTCGCAACGTACTGATACTGGTTCCAGGATCGGCTCCTGGATAGGAATCGTTGCATTTGTCAATCAGACTCAAGAAAACATCAATTTTATAATAAACTTGAAGACAATTATATTAGTAGAACATTTTATCTTAAATACTAAAGTCGCAGTGATACTTTAAGGTAAGGCTTCATATTAAGACCAAAAATATTTAAAAAATTTACGAATACTGGTTCCTCTGGTAACTAAAAAGTCCCAACCTGCACTTCCAAAGTTCCAGCTAGTGTCATAACGGCTCTGGAGAAGGTGATGTTCACCAGCTTGATGAGTATATTGTCTATAACAGCATTCTGGATGGGACTGGTAGGCTCATTGCCAGTGTTCAACTGCTTGAAGAAGTTTTCTATTAAAAGATCACCTGAAAAAGGAGCCAAGTTATATGACCGTATTTATAGTAGTAGTAGTAGTAGTAGTAGTAGTAGTAATTGTACAATAAGAGGTAATAGGATAGGAGCGGTATCATAATATCGTTGCTTACCCATATTGAAGACTAATAAATTCGGGGATGACGGCTTCTGTGGCAGCAATAGGACAGGAGCGTGAATCTGAAATAATTTTTAAAACAGATTTTAATACCGATTCGTCAGATGTTTAATTGGTAAGTAGATATTAATATTAGACTAGAGTAGTAATATCGGCGGAGATGGCAGGAAGCGCTGTGTACCTCGATGGCGAGGTTGAGCCTGGTGGCGGCGGAGCGCGCGGCGGCGGCGTGTCGCTCGGCGGCGCGCTCGGCCGCGCCCGCCGCCTCCGTCGCCGCCGCCGGCACCAGCGGCTCCAGCACTTGCTGGAACACACGTTGTACATCTACTGAATACCTCGTTACAATACAAAGTCGATCGTAAAGGTTATCTAAAAGAGGACTCTACTTCATGACAACGTGACTGTTAGAGTTGACGAGTTCAAGATTGGAAACAAAAGTCACAAAAGTGACAGGCGTATTGCTACACCACCAGCTTGCTAATCATTTTAGTCCTATAATCAATAATATATTACTAATATATATAATTACTAATCATTATAGTCAATCTATCTTGAGCTAAGAAAGTTGAGTGAGTGAAGACATCCGCAAAGTCGCAATGAGTACATAGCAGCTAATAATAGGTTCGGTAATGAATATAAGAGCCATACCTGTATGTGATGCATGACACAGCAGAACAGTACGACGTGCAGCCTGCCGACGTAGACCCGCAGCTCGCCGTGGGCCTTCATGGAGCGCTGGTCCGCGCCCGCGCCGTACAGCCGCGCCGCCGCGCGCACGTACTTTATCTCCAGAACTTTGTCTTCGTCTGGCCACACCAACTACGTATAGGAAAAATCAGAAACTTTTCGAGTTTAATATATTTTGAAAACACATAAAAACCCACACGTTATTCCGAACAATACTATCAGATAGATCATGTTACTGACGTTTTGGATCCTAAGTAGACCAAATATCGGTGTCTGACAAATAGGTAAAATGATTGTTTTTCAATACCTATCCTAAATCCAATAAAAGTCCATTTAACATTAAGAATTCTTTAACATTGAGACATTCATTACCTTGGGATACAATGTGGCCTCCGCAAGGTCATCAATATGCAGTGAGCTGAGGTACAACTTAAAGATCATCCGGTCGTTGGCTCGGAACACGCAGTCACTCTCCAACGACCCGAGCCTCATCTCCAGCACCGCACTCTCCATGTGGCACAGCTTCATCGATATTGATGATGCTCTGGGAATATCATAACAGTTTACTTACCATTGAAAGAAGAATTATTAATGTCGACAGAAAGTTGGAAAAAGAAGAAAAATCATTTTACCTGACAGAATAACTGAATTTGGTAGCACCAGGTGGTACAGGCGGATCAGCTTCAGGCTGCATCAGGTAGTCCCATAATGATCTAGACTTCGGCAGAACTACATTCTTCAGGTTAAGTGCGTGACGGTTCTGGATCCTAGAAAGATCAGCGTAAGTTCAGATTTTGCTAAACACACAAATATTTATTCAACAATAAGAAGAACCTATATGTGCAAGATTTAAATAAAAGTAGAAGTCCCGCCCTTGAATTTGAAATACTTACTTATCAGAAATGTACTGCAGATACTTGAGAAGTGTTGGCAATGCATCAGCATGCAGCAGTAACGCCAGATGTCCAACATCTGCCACCAACGCCTGCTCCACATTGTGGAAGTGTGAGCGGAACTCTGGACAGTCGGCGCGAACCTGTATCACGACAAATAATTTATCATTTAAATATTAAAATACCGGTATTGATACTTGATGTATTTATAGGAAGACTTAGGCGGCTGTTCGTTTTTTTCTCATAAAAACGTGCCCCACTCTAGGATTTTCTCCTGTATCGTGAGTGCGTTAACAAACATACAAGTTCACATACATATAACACCCAGACCCGGAACAACAATCTGTGGATCACACAAAGAGTTGTTCCGTGCGGGAATCGAACCCGCGACACGTTGCACGGCAGCCAATTGCCCAACCAACGCGCCAACTGTGCAGGCAAAATCAGTTTTGCCTTAGTTATACAGTTATACAGTCTAAAAATCATATTATACGTTGACCTTTTGTTGTTATGCACCTTTAAAATAAAAGTTACCCACCTTCCTATACAATAAATTAAACAGCTCCCCAGAGCTAGTGATCAGCTCCAAGTACTGTCCCGTACTACTGTGATGTTGTTTATCAGTCAGTAACACTTGGCTGACAGACAGCTGGACAGCAGGACCGTACTCCATGAGTGCCACGTCCAGGCAGACCTTCGTGATGCTTAGCATTACGTATGGCTTCTCCATTTGGTCACACGAACGAGACAGGTTGATTACTATTTCGCCTGGAGACATCGAAATGAAAGGAAAATTAGATCAGAGTCTTACATATAAAAGTTATACTACAAACACCAAGCGGTCACCGGTGACCGCAACCTATTGTTCTATAATTGTGTCTACAAAACCGGTACTCGACGAGTTAATATGGAATATTGCATAGCTAATAACATTATTTTGACTTTCAAAAATTAGGTAAATGTAGTTTGCTCATAATTTATTTAGTTGCTATAAATTATCCTGTTTTTATCTTTTTCAAAATCTTCACTAACTCACCAACAATGAACCTCAGCAGCGTATTAATATTGTTACTAGGTGACACATTGTCATCGAACCCAGGAAGGTCGACAGTCCTGGCATATATCTCAATGTCTTCATCGCTATGTTCTGATGCAGCAGAGGCCTGCTGGGCTGCTTGGAACCCGAGCTTCGCTGTGGCCTTGTCGAAAGTGGTTTCTGCTGCCCTAAAATTGATATTATATAGGTTCATTTATAAAATTTACCTTACAGTCGTTTTGAAATTATTTGTTTGCTAATTTCTTATTTTACCAATGCTTCCTTATTAAGTTCGTTTAGAAAAAGCTAATTTGCTTTTTCGATATTTTTGTATTCATATTAGTTACATCGTTTTGTCTATATATGTATACAACTTACTTGCTCCTACTCAGATAAGCTGCCACGACCTTCTGCCTCAAGTTCATGAGATCCTTATAATCAGGGTCAGCAGTCACCCTGTCTATGCTCAGCATTTCAGCCATCTCTGGTTCTTCCATCTCCTCAGTATAGTCTCCAGAGTCCATGAAGGAGACTGGCACGGTGTTGGGTACAGGAACAGGGAGATTGTCGCAGAAATCAAGGAGAAGACCTATGATCCGGTCTGAGAGGTTCAGCTTGATGCTTGATAAAGAGATGTTTAGTTTGTATCTGGAAGAAAATACTTGATTATTGTAAAAGACCATTTCACAGGACATGAATTAAATTTCAATCCGAAACTGACTACTTGACGGTCGGATATTTGTACTGTGACTTACTTTGGTAGTAATTTGTAATCTTTCTTGATACTGTTGGAAAACACGACCTGCATCTTGATCTTAGGTATCAAGTGCAGTTCTGAGTCTGCATGGCGACGTGATTCACGCCATGAATCTGTCCACTCGCAGAATAAAACCTGGGAATAGAATATATATACATGAAAACCGAGAACCTAAAAGCTTTCTTGGAAGCAAAAGAGTATAATAATAACTAGCTGTTTTATGTTGTAGACACTGGCAATTAGCTATTCTCATTTAATGATCACAATGATAGACCAAGAAGTAACAGTCTTTTACCACATACCCCAAAATTGTTCTTACCTGACAAGAGCATTCAGCATGCAATCTATCATACAGCCTCTCTTCCAGCTCCATGCATGTGGCATCCTCGAGCGTCAAGTTCGATGGTTGCAGATCTGACTTTACTATGATGCGACTAATGTCAAAGATCATTACGCGACCAGACCTGTAATAAGAACCCCTTGATGAAAAACAAAGAAGAATATTATAAGCTTGCCAATATTGCAGATAATTTAGATAAAATTGTTAAGTAAATCCTTATCCAATGAAAGAAATTATGGGAATTAATTACTATGTTCGGCTTATTCACGTAATTACTGTTTGACGAGGAACTTGACTAGTTTCAAGCTGAAAACATAATAATTCATTTAGTATGTCTCACAAAAGTTATAATAGAAATTAACAGAAGTAAAAAATATTTCTTGGCAAACCACGCACTTATGCACACATCCATGCTCCGGCACGACCACGCAGGGTCCTTTAACATCCACATTCAAGTGGAACACCTTCCTCCGGCTAATGGCATAGGCCAGGACAGACTTGCTGACGGCACCAGCTCTGAGCACTGCTTCAGTGACTTCTACTGCCAACTCCTCAGCGGTCATCGAGTGAGTTTGGAAGAAGTTGATCAGCTCCGTAAAGGAATGCTGTGGAAATAAAATAACTTTTTACAAATAACTCTGTCGGCGTGAATATCGTACGAACGATTTTGTTGTTGATGATGATGACAATGAGTTTTAGAATGCTTTTATGACACAAGTAAAATACAAATATTACCTCAATGTAGACCAACTCCATAGGTTCCATAAGGCAGCATAATCCATAATCAGCTTCATTGCTACAAGGATTCTTCTCCAAGTCTATGGCCAGTAGATTGGAACTGGTGACTCCTGAGCCTCGCTCTGGAGTCAGGAGTGGAACCAAATCACCGTCAGATGTTACTCCTTCCACTACTATACTTTCTGCTCGAGCTGAGAGCTGTAAGAAATATTGTAATTTAAACAAAAACATTAAAAATAATTCGGATAACATGTTATATAAGAGGTACAAATTATAGAGTTAAGGCAAGGTCCATGACACATTTTTAGATAAAATCTTAGCTAAATATAATACAAATGAAAAAAAAATCAATTAACAAAGCAATAAACACACAAGAAATAACGAACAGGCCAGGAATCAATTATCAATACCAAAATAATAATTATAATCTTCTAGTCTCCATATTCGATGTCTTCTTGTAATCAGGGTCTTCTTGAGACGACAATGCTACAGGACAAGCAGTCGAAATGTTAACCATTTCAATAATGGACCATTTCGAAAGCCCGTCCTGAGCTGACGGATCTCTTCTGTTGCTGTTGCTGGATGATGGGATGTGACAACACTTTGTAAATTATTGTTTTTGTAGCTATAACACTCATTATAATTTTCACAAATACAATCAAATTTACATTTTACAGTACTCACAAATTTTATTAATCTACATCATCTGTCATATAATTATACTTCATAATAAATGGTACCTTGTATGCTTTAGCCGAAGGTCTGGTTTCCAAAGACGCAAGGAACTGTGTGAGAGTCAGCACTAGCACTTCTTTATTTCTATTCATCAGCGTCAGTGAACAGTTGGCTAACGTCAGGTTTATTTTGTGTTCTAAAACATTACACAATTGTTGATAACACTGATTTAAACCATGGATCATAGAAGAAACTTAAGTCATTTTTATTCCTTACCAATGTACTGTTTGGACTTATCCTTTTGTGGTGCCCCCTCCACATACCCAATCAGTTCACAGACTCTCTTCTTTTCAGGACTAGAGAGATGACTCCACAGACTCTTACTCCTTTCAGTCTTCACACAGAGCTCCACGTGGTTCTTCAAACCTTCGATTTCATCAGTTGGAGAGCTCGATGGCTTCCACCAATCAAATTCTGTTTCTACTACTTCTATGCGGTCTGGTTCTTGGGCGAGCAACTAAAACGGAATTAATATTAAAATTCAACGTTTGTTTAAACAAAAGTGCTAGCTTCCACAACAATACTTACTTCAAATTTAGCTTGTTCTCTAGCAATAATAACAGACACAATCGGTAGACTATCCTCACACTTCTGCAGATCCAATTTCAGTTCAATATCATTTGGACTTCTCAAGGTACTTTTATAAATCTGTTTGTAGACGTTGTAGTTCTCTCTATGCTTCTTAATGGCTGCCCAGGTGTATGGCCTGACTCTTTGTTCTACGACTACATTGTAGGCATACTTCCACCACTTCTTGATGTCTTTGGATAGAGGAACTCCCGGGTGTAGATGACGGTATTTTCTGTGGAATCAAATTTTTGAAATTAATTAATTCAAAACACTATTCATTTCATTCTTTCTGTCTAATATTCAAAATCTATCTCACCGGTTCAGTTTGATCCTATCAAAAGAAGCTAATAGATTGTTTATCGACAGGTATTGTCGCCGTGAGAGCTGCAGTGCACTATCTTGCAGCACTGCATCCAATAGTAGACGAGGAACACGCGCTTCTCCAGATCGATTTATCAGCACTTTTACTTTACATGTTACTGGTTTCAGTACTGAAAAGAGAAATGCCTTATAGAAATTACTTTTCAAAATAGTACCTAACAAATGACCATTGTTCAAAAGAGAGAATAGATTTCCAATGAATTTCCTTACAAAATTCAAAGTCCTCATGATGCATGGAGAACTTGTCCAGGCCAGTGAGCATATAATGCTTCCAATTGTAATACTGCATGGGTGTGATGTGGGCGGTCTCGTTGTCATCCAAGGCTGTCGCCGTCGGGTTCCAATAAGCTGACATGGACTCTATGCGCATCATCTGGTAGACCGTGGACGCATTCGCCGGAGTCACTGATGGTTTCCATTTACTAGAAAAATGATAAAAATGGTACAAGAATTCGTTCAACAATTTTAATCATTGTTTAACTATAAAACCACTGACTTACCTATTAGTAGTCTCAATAGATAAGCTCTGGAGACACAGTCCACACGCGAGGGGTCCATCCTTGGAACTGATGGAGTCTTCATACCGAATATGGACGTTTCTGACGTAGATCTGAAGGTTATTCACAATAGCCGTGAACAAATGCTCGAAGAAATTCTGGGGACCTTTGAGGACTTCACTCTCGGCTTCCAAATCCTGAAGGATTTTTCGTTTGGCTGCTCTGGTTAATCGTCTTTCTCGTTCTGGGTCAAAGTGGCTGTTGGATATCGCTGGGCCTACCAGCACGAGCACATCTTCGATGTTGACGACCACGGGCTGCGTGTATAGGCCTGACCATGGTATCTGCAGGCCGATGCGGCCGATAGTACCGATCTTCACATCTATTGGGAGGTCGAGTTCGTACTGTAATGAAGAGTAATATTTTAGAAACTGCACACAAATGGGACGAAGGGTGAAGCATTACATGAATCTCGGAAAACCTCTAAAAAATTCATGCTTAGATTTTAAAGCATGTCCAAAAATTGGAGTGCTTCTTACCAAAGCCTCAGGCTTAAGTTTCAAGTCTGTGAGGTTGACATTCCCGGAGAAGATTCCCACGTTGAGATTCTCCGTGTCCAGATCCTGAACGTACTTGCCCAGCAGCCGGTTCAGGATCCCGGCGACCGCGCCCTCGAACATGATGACGGTGGCTGATGATCAGCTGGACATAAGATATGATTGAGGGTTATTGCTACTATTTGAATAAGGGGAGTAAAGATAACGTAAAATAATAAAAGACTAATATATAATATCATAAAGAACTGGAAAGTTGAAATCCATCCGAAAAAGACCTATGTTTACAAGTATATATAGGTACCAATATCACGAAATAACGATTTGTATTTTTTGAGACTCAACAAATGTTTTAATCATGGTCCGTATTTACGGTCGAAGCCAAATGCGCACTTGTCGCGGAGAACCTAACGGGTAACCGGGGCTCCGACTCGACGTGCAGGAGAAGGAACGGGGTGGTTTTTAGTCAGTAAGAGTCTGACACTCCCTTCCGCCTCACCCAGGCGGGAGCAGTCATTCGACGATTTTACCCCCTTAAAAAAAAAAAATGCGCACTGCAAAAACTAAAGGCGCACTGATTGACCGACGCCAATGAACCAACCAATCACGGCGCCGAACGCGTACTTGTTACGAGTACTTTAAACGTAGAAACCAACTCGTACTAAGGCCTCAGAATACTTAAAAACACCAAACCTAACATAACTTTAAAAGTCTTCCTCTTACAATTAAAAAAAGACATAAGGAAAATGTTCTCCCTAACTTAACAGTCTGAATAAATCAGAAGTAAGTGGAATAGATAAGTGTAAGTGTGAGTGACGTGGTATTTACAGATTGGCCTTTACTTGGCGTTACATTATGCATGGCGCCAGCTGCCCTCTTTCCCTCGACTTGCAACGAAAACAATTTAATATTCGGAATCGATGCGCCACACTATTTTAAGAACGTTGCGCCGATGATAGCACTCCTTACTATGTCTCCTTTGAAATTCTAATCGTGATTTTAATGTTTTGTGAATTGAAACACTAGTTTATAGTTTTATTTACCTGTAGATTATTTACAAATTAGGTAATACTAATTTCATTCAAAGTTGCTACGAATACGACTAAAAATATGTAAGGAAAACTAAGATGAGGAAAAAGAAATAAAATGTAATTGTATTTAAAAACTAAAACAACGATTAATTAATCGAAGATAAGAAGTTATCGTCCCATTGATCTACCGATTTATGAAATCATTCATAAAAATTACAGTTACAATGAAGTTACAATTTACAAAATTATACTTAGTTATATCGTAATTTTGGTGTCGGTACAATCTAATTGAGATAAATGATAAACGGCCAAACTTCATTACGTAGATAGGACAGGACACGCCCTAGTTGACTGTGTTGCAGGTTATAACGTCGCATCGCGTTGCCATGATTTTTAATTTTCAGCAAGATATACCTTACATCGTCATTAGCATATTGAATACCTACTTAGTCTTGACAACATGCGCCAAGTATTAGAGACTATAGATATCTACCGTTTTTTTATGGAATAAGAGACAAACGAGCAAACGAATTATCTGATGGTAAGCGATCAGCGCCGCCCATGGACACCCGCAACATCAGAGGCGTCACAGGTGAGTTGCCGGCCTTTTAAAAAGACTTTTCCTGAAGGTTTGGATGTCGTATCGGTTCAGAAATTCACACATTCACGACAGATCATTCCACAGTTTTTCTGTGCGAGGTAGAAATTTGGAATAAATTGACAGAGGTACCTAAGCATTCTAAAAAAATATAGGAAAGAACCTAAATAAGTTTCTTTTTCAGGGGGGAAATCATCGAATGACTTCTACCGCCTGGGTGGGGCGGGAGAGAGTGTCAGACTCTTCCTGACTAAAAACCATCCTCCGCGGCTCCTTATCGGCATCAGTCCTATTGGGCCCCATCCGTGGTGGTCTGATAGCACCTAAATAAGTATTTATAACTTTGAAAACGTGCATGAGATTTTATTTCGCATCTAAGAGTCTTAGGTTGATGAATCGGGGTGCACCACGGAAGCAGCTCGACTAATGTTCAGCAGTTGCCGATGCCAACAGGCTAATACGTGTAAGTGGAATAAAAGGTTTAATTCATAATTCCCCCTAAATATATTAGATAATATTACAAATGTGACACTTTATCAAACTTATTGGTAAAAATGTGCATTCAGGAACCATTGTTGCTAAGTTTTATAAGTCGATTATATTTTCTTATTCAGCAAATATAGCGGAATTATAATGCGGAACTACTTATCTAATAAATTTTGCTCAAAATCAGATAACAATGTTTTTATGAAAGCGTAGGTACGGCCAAAAATAAACAATAATAAAAATTCGCTAACCGTCAATAAAAACAAAACAATTTAAAAATAAACAACAGCGACAGCGGGAACGGTAAACGCAACAGCAATAAATCCAGGTTAGATCTCTGTGATGTGACTCTATGTATCTTGGAATGTGCTCCGTCCAGTGCATAGAAGGTACAAACAAAGCCAATCTCACAATCTATTACAAAGTAACATTGTAGTATGTAGGTAATCCAATGTCATTCTAAATGCCTATTCAATAAGACGATACCTTAAAACGTTAGGTACTTTTCGGTACCTATCACTACATAGCATAAAACAAAGTCGCTATCCGCCGTCTGTCTGGCCCTATGTATGCTTAGATCTTTAAAAAACTACGCAACGAATTTTGATGCGGTTTTTTTTTAATAGATAGAGTGATTCTTAACTCGTCGAGTACCGTCATTATAGACACAATTATAGAACAATAGGTTGCGGTCACCGGTGACCGCTTGGTGTTTGACAGTTAAGGAAGATTTATATGTATTTTTTTTTTTTTTAAGGGGGGAAAATCATCGAATGACTGCTCCCGCCTGGGTGAGGCGGAAGGGAGTGTCAGACTCTTACTGACTAAAAACCACCCCGTTCCTTCTCCTGCACGTCGAGCCGGAGAGGTTCTCCGCGACTTATATGTATAATACATGCATATTGCACCCGTGCGAAGCCGGGGCGGGTCGCTATTAATTAATATAATATGGGAGTAACCTGTTGGCATATAAAACTAATAACGTTGATCCTAAGAAAATAACAATGTTTGGGGAAAAACAAACAATATCAGACTGTAAATAAAGAACAATATAGTTTAATTAATTTACCACATAAATCCGTTGGTGAAGCGTCTTGTCGCGAAGAAAGCAGTCGAATGATTCGCGCTTTTCTAACAATAACAAAATCAATAACACCGATTGGCCGCGAGCTGGTAAACAACTTGGACACGCTCCGACACTCGACGTACCAATATTAATTCAGTATCGAGTCTTATCTCGAGATAAACTATCTCCTGATATCGATACATCGGATGACGTTTTAAAACAATGCCTGCAATGTTTAGGACACGCAGATATAGGTTAACTATCTCATTACATTGATAAGTTGTGTTGTGTCTCCGTATATTACAGTTTTTTGTGAAAACATGTTACAACACGTACCTAGTGGCTATTTTGCATGGAGATGTAACGCGTCTAGCAAAGGTTTCTTGGTATGAATAAGTATGAATATTACATTTTTCATGAGCGGCCATCTGACATGTAATATGTCAGGCTCGGTTCCATGTTGGTAACGTAATATTGCGTATCTTCTCTTCAAAGACAGAAGTGTAGCTATAGGAATTAGAACTTACAGAAAACTCATTAGAAACATCAATTAAAAGCCTTTGAAAGATCCAATTAAAAGGCTTCGAATCAAAAATCTGAACACCGATTTAAACACAATAGGTACTTCATAACCGAAGTTTAAAAATAGATCGGCGTATTTTTTAATTAGAGTTTGCGCTCTTACAGTTATCGTATTTCGAAAGATCACTTTGATGGCATTGAAAATGGGTAACGTAATTTATTGTTTGTATGGTCATAAAAGCATCAACTTCATCACGATAAAAGCATATACTACTTGTCCTTTACTCATTCCATACACGCCTTTTTAATCATACGAAGATGGCATTCTCTTATGACATATAATGACGTCACTGGAACACTGAGGACATAGATTTGATACCATCGTTTATAGCAAAGAACTCGATGTCTCTAGATTAGATTTATAGTGAATCACGCATCACATCGAGTCCCGGAACTACAATTTGTGACTCACACAAAGAATTTGATTATACGCGTATTTCTCAACAATAATCCTAATAGGAGTGGGCAAACGAAAAATTGATATTACATAGTTAACATATGCATCTACAATATAGCCAATTTACACCGGTTATATACTAGTTGTGGGAATCCCAAGAATAGAGGCTAGGATCAGCCTATGTTTACTAAAAGACAGTTATATAGTACCTAATTATAATTGTTTTTAAGCCACTTTAATTTTTTTCCAAAAATGCATTTTACTGTGCTTTTACCATGTCCGTTCGTCACCTACAAGTGAGTGGCGACTCCATCAGAGCATGATTTCATAGTTCCGCGGAACGGTACACTGTAATAGTTTAATTTCTTTAACCTACTACTATTGATCCGCTATAAGTGGACTGGTGGATTAGATTATTCCTTCATATAAACGCATAGGTATATCCAGGGCTAAACTGAAGAAATTAAATTTGCCTTGAAGGCCTCCCGGGTCTAGTTTAGATCAATAACAATTAACCTGGTTTTCATTCTCGGGTTGAGATGTTTTATTGAATTTAAAGTTTGAAACTATAATTTCTTGTGTGATGTTCACTATTATATCACGGAGCGTCACAATGACGATGCTTATCTTTTGGGTCTTTGAGTAGTCTTTTAGAAAGATTTCTGGCGTAAAAGAAGACCTCGTTGTTTAGCTATTTAAGTCCATCCAGGACATCACTATTCCTATTACAAAAATCGCGTTTAAACAGTCAAAATTTCTGTACAAATAAGCAACAGGTCCTGCGTAACATATTTTAGAACATTTAGGAGTTTATCATCATCAACAGCCTATAAATGCCCTCTTCTCACACGGAGAAGGTTTGAGCATCAATCACCACGCTTGCTCAATGCGGATTGGTGATTACAAACTTATAATTAGAAATGTATAAGCCTAGGTTTCCTCACGATGTTTTCCTTCACCGTGTCAGTGGTGCCTAAATAATCTTGGA